AGTGGCCCCTCAGCCATCTGTCTGGCCAAGCTTTGTGAAAGTACCTCTTGTAAAAATCAAGCCACAATTTATTTTAACTAAATGGTACTGAAAAAGAACTAGGTTACTCCTAAAACCTGTAAATTAACATCTCTAATTTCTTGGTTATCCTGGTAACACTACAACAGTACATACAGCAACTGTATTACTTAATTGGTCATCAGTCAGAAATAGGACATTATGCCTAATGCTATTAGAATATATTGACTAACAGAAAAGACACACAAAAAGGATAATTTTTTTAAAAATTATCATTGCTTTAAATGTTTCCGGTAAAAATGAGTACATAAGGACATTATTTCAACAACATCATCTGTTGTTATCAGGATTCTTCAGAATATACAACTGGTTATAACACATGTTTAATTCCCCAAGTTCAACACATTTTAAAACATATCTTACCTAATCTTTTAATGAGTAAACAAACACGAAATATACACAGTAACTTTTTCATTTCATGTGTAAATAAGGTGGTATTAGGCTTATATAATTCTTTAAATAAGAGTAACTAAAAAGCTACAGTAGAAATAGCAATTCTAATCCTCTTTAAAATTTAAACATCAGTTATTTTAACGTAACCTTAACTCTGACATATTATTTAGTAGATATGTTCTCCAGACATTATCATCTAGTGTCATCTCATTAAATCACCCTATGCAGACGAGAATCTAATTTTTGGTATCTCCAAAGAAGAGAGATTTCAAAGACAGGCTAGTTATTGTTCTTAAAATAAGCAAAAAGGTCATGTGCAGGAATAGACAAAAACACATTAAATATGAACATTCAGAGGTCTTTGACTTTACAGAAACCAACTTTGATAGAAAGGCAAGAATAAAAGCCACATTACTAAGAGTTAAAAAGAAACTGGAAATTCTAAAAACTAAAGGTCAGATGAATAAAATTGAGCATAAAAAACATTGAATTAAATAAATAAAACTAGGAGTTAGTTTTATGAAAAAACAAAACAGATAATTAATTTTGTTAAAAAGAGAGAAGAAAACCAAATCATTTGTAACAAAAATGAAGAGTGAATATGCTACTAGTGAAGATGAAATTAAAGCAATTATAAGGCATTATTTTGCCCAATTAAATGCCAATAAATTTAACAATCTGAGTGAAATGGAAGAACGTTTACAAAAGTATAAATTGCCTATATTGGCAGAAGAGGAAATAGGATATCTAAATAGATCTATTTTAGAAAAAGAAATTGAACAGGCCATAAATGAACTTCCTAAGAAAAAAGCACCAAGACCAGAAAGATTTATAAGTGAATTCTATCAAACATTTAAAGATCAACTAATTCCAATATTAAATGAATTATTAGGAATAATAGGCAAAGAAGGGATACTACAAAACTCCTTTTATGAAGCAAATATGATATTGATACCTAAGCTAGGAAGGGTAAAAAACAGAGAAGGAAAATTATAGACCAATTTCATTAATGAATATGGGATGCAAAATCCTAAATAAAATATTAGGTAAAAGATTTACAACAACATATGACAAAGATCATACGTTATAATCAAGTGCAATTTATACCAGGAATGCAGGGATGGTTTAACATAAGGAAAACTATTAATATAATTGATTATATCAATAATAAAAGTTTTTAAAAATCATATGATTATATCAATAGAAGCAGAAAAGGCTTTTGATAAAGCACAACATTCATTTCTATTAAAGACACTTGAAATGACTGAAGGGGAAAGCAACAAATGTAGGAGATGGAGCACACAGTAAGAACTAAACAAATGGATGTTCCCTTCCCTTTTTTTTTTCCTGAAGGAAGGAAGGGGGGAAGGGGAGGACAAAAGACTCTTAACCCCAACTGCCTTTCTCTACATTGCATTGTCCCCTTCACCTGGAATGCCCCTCTCCCCTTCTCAGTAAATCCAAAGCGTATCCAATTTCTCAAAACGAAACCTGGCTATCGCCCCTAATAGTGTGCCTAGAAAAATCATTAAATACCCATAACTTTAAGGGGTAGGAGCAGAGTTAGAATAAGAAACGTAGAGGTACACAGAGCTGAATACCGGAAAAAGAAATCTAGAATTTCTTTGGGAAACAATGCATAGCCATGGTAGGCTTTTGAGTCATGTGAAATGCTGAAACTAATCTACTTTAGAAAGATTAGTAAAATGATCAAATACAGAACAACTGGAGAAAGGAGACACTTTAGGGAGGATGAACATCAAAGTAATTTGTAAAAGTAATCTTGGCTAACATAAAGTGGCAGCAAAAATGCAATAGAAAGTATCAATTTGAGAAATATTATTTAAAAAAAGAAGACAGCAAGAAATGGGATACGGAGATTCAAGGAACATGAAGACAGCTGCCCCATTTCAGACCTAGATGACTGAGATATTGGTGGAACACTTACTAGTATTGTGAAATTTGTAAAGCATTTGCTTGGGAATCCAATTCTATTTTGAAAAGTTTAGGCTGTTGTTTTAAACAGAATAAATCTAAGGTGATACCAATGTATTTACATCAGGAATTCTTATTTCCCCGGGGTCTATTTTTCTTTTTTAGTATTTTGATAACTGGATTTCAGCACATTTGTTTTCCTTTGTAAACTCATAGATTTTATCTTGTTCATTTAAAAACATTATTCTGAGAAGGGATCCACAGGCCTCACCAGACTGCCAATGAGATCCAATGACATAGTAAGAGCTAAAAAACACTAATCTGAACGGCGATATCTTAAAGGTAACTGAAAATATGGCCCAAAGGCCAGAGCCAGAAATAGAGATGGGAATGTTATTAGCACAAGAGAAATAGGTTAAACTGTACACCATATGAACTCTCCATAGGGAAAAGAGAGTAAAAAAATATAAATAAAAGACCTTGTGGGGACATCATCTTTAGGGACTCTTATTAAGCTTTGGAAGTGGGAGAAAAGAGGGTATAGAAGAAAAAGAAGGAAAACAAGGATCATATAGCATCACTATGTCCTTCCAAAAAGGGTGAAGGTTCAAGGAGTCATGTATCAACAAAATGAAGTATTACCATGTAGTCAAGGAGGAAAAGGAATAAGAAAAGACAAGGACAAAACATGGAAACAAAAAAGTCCCTGCTAACCTTCAGGAATATGAGTTTCAGTAAAGAGAAAAAAGATTTCATGGAGCTAAAGAGAAAATATATGGTGAGAGAATGCAGGCAGTGGGGGTGGACCAATTATTTTAAAAATTGGCACTGAAATAAAAAAGAGACAGATGATGGTGTCTAGAAAGGCCAGCAGAATACAAGGGGGGTGTGTGTGTGTGTGTGTGTGTGTGTGTGTGTGTGTGTGTGTGTGTGTGTGTGTGTGTGTAAAAGAAAGAACAGTGTGTTTACAGGCAAGGAACTGAATGACACAAACAAAAAGAAAGTTCATCTATTTCACTCTATGAATCATTATCTTAGCTCCTTGCTATTTCAAGCTCTATCACCAACAAAGAAATATATTTTGTTTTATTTGCTAAAACTTGGAGGTGGGGAGGTAGTAAAGGAAGTTTCATCTATAGTTGGCTAAAGTTTTGGTATTTCAGGGTTTTTTTTTCTTACACCTCCAATGAAACTCTGAAAAAATTTCAGTGAATTTATTGATTTTACTCTACCTACATTCTTTCACTCCTAAAAAACAGAGCAGGGGCCCTCAATGGTTTTAAATATAGACTTAACAAGTAATTACAGTATTCTAAGTGAGCTTCCTGAACCTTGGACTAATGTCACCAAAGCTTCCCACAGGTGCTTCTTTCCTTCCTGGATTGGCACTGATGGGAGAAACCTAAAAACTAATGCAAAGAAGCCATAACATTATGTGGAAGTGAATTCAAGATGACATGCATCTACTTCCTTCCTTAATTTATATAGTATGGTGAATATATGTATATGAAGTGATCATATAATAAGAACCTGTGGTTTTGCTCTAATATTCTACAAAGGAAAATTTCATCAGATACCCTGTCCAGTTAAATGAAGATATAGAGCTACAGATATAGATCCAGATATATAGACATAGATTTCAATTCAATTCCATCAACACTTACTATGGGTACAGAGGTGCTAGACGAAGGGAAATGTATGGAGTACACTCCACTTAATCACTGCCTGCTCACAGTCAATACCAAATGTTTTCTTTTTAAAACTGGTATTTGTCAGTTATCCAGGATAAATTTCCATGCTTTACTCTATAATAGTTTATTTTATTTTTATCCCAACTAGCTACTTAATTCTACCTGAATCTAATTTTAGCACTTTATTCATATTACTGTAATGGTATCTAAAATCCAAGTTGTGATTTGTAGATCTCTAACATAGATTTCAGTTCAATAATAGTAGAGATGGCATGATTTAAAAAAAAAAGATTTTACTATGTACTTCTATTTGGAAACAAGATAAGAAATTCATCCTAATTTCCAGAGAAACTTGTTTTTCAAAAAATCATGTCTTTTCAAGATGAAATTCTTTGACACCAGACATTAACATGAATTACAAACTAGGAGAAAGTTTGCTTCTGAAAACAATTTATTCTACAGTAGAAAAGACTGCATCTGCCCCTTTTTAAACCAGGCATGGGAGGGAAACATGTAGGTAGAAACATGTGAGACAAATATAGAGAGACATGCATGGATAAATCTAGTACAAATGAATTAGCCTATTAATATGAGAATTTAAGTATTTTGACAATAAAGCATGCAATGGGTTATTCTGAACAAAATAATGGCAGAATAATGAGTAAAATAAGTATCTGAAAGTGCAATGACAATGTTTTTGTTGGTTTTCAAGCACAGATATTAAATATAGCTCAAATTTATATTATAATTGATTTTCTGTGCTATTTTAAACATACTGCCAACTTTTGGCATAATCATAAAGGCTGTAATTTATATGAGGAAGTTAATTCATTCCTCAAAATTCTGTTCAAAGAAAACTTAATAAGTAGATGTTAAGTTGTAAAGGATAAAATTGAAATTTACCATCTTCCCAGCAACTCTCCCCATGAATATAGTATCTTCTCAGGGCAATCCTTAGACACATCACCAGTTCCACTTGAAAGTTCATTATCACTCTCTGGGAAAAAAAACAGAAAAAACAAAAACATTCAAAAATTTATCAGACAAGAAATACTGAAGTGTATTAAAATAATATACTTTCACTTAATACCATTTTATCTTTAAATTTAAAAAAAACCTTAAAAGCTGTATTAATTTATCATCAATAAACCTGGGTTAATAATTTCAAAGCACAATCTTTTCCTTATGAAAATTCTCATTCATATTTTTTTAATTTAGAAATTAAACTACCTAGCTCTGCTCAAAGTAATAGATTAAGTCAAAAAGGTAGAGATTGGGAAAAACTAGGAACTCTGAATTCTTAATCTATTATTCTACTCAATTCATCCTATAATAATCAAGAATAAATTTATAAAGCCAAAAAACCCCAATAAGCATATGTACAGAAATCACCAAATATACATACATGTACACAGTAAACACACACACACAGACACTTACACATGCTGCACCTACACACAAATCTCTGAAAAGACTTGACAAACAGCAATACGTTTTCATAACAACCCTACCCCAAAACTTTCATATTTCTAAAAGCTGAACATCTAAGTGGTTTAACTTTTGATAAAAGACAACTTAAATACTTGTGTGCCAATGTGTTTCTTCAATTCCAATTTAAAAAACCAGAAAATATATGAAAATCAGGACCAAACAGCTTTGATGATGTTCTATACCTTGCTTATTCTGACCTGTTTCGATTTCCCTTGACATTTTAGATATTTTGTTTCTCCAAATGAATTCAGCTATCATTGGATTACCTCTTTGTTATTATCACTGTTACAGTAGAAGAATGGCCCAGCTATGAGTACTGATTATCCTTCCAGTTAACTTTATTTGCTTCTTTAAGAAGGCTTTTGTAACTGTATCTATACAGGCATTGAGTGCACTGGCAGTCTGACACCCATTCAACTACACATTTTGTAGTCATTTTTGAATGTCACTTGGCTCTACCTCGCAGCTTCCTGGATTTTGTCACTGCTATGCAGATGTGTTGGAGAATTTATGGAATTATTTTTGCCACAATACTTTATCAGAGCCATTTGTTGTCTCAATTAGTTTCTTTATTGATTCCCTAGAATGTTTTAAGTAAAATGTCCCATCATTAATTTTTTTAGAAAATAGTTTTATCTTCTCTATTCCTATTTTTAAAAGGTTTTAACTTCTTTGTCATCTTTCTCCTACTGTTAACGTTTCTAAAACTACATCAAATAATAAAGGGGAAAGAAGGAATCCTTGCTTTACACCTTTATTGCTTAGCAAAGCTTCTAATAGAGGCAGCTAGGTGGTACAGTGGATAGAGTTCCAGCCTTGGAGTCAGGAGGACCTGATTTCAAATCCAGCCTCAGACACTTGTCACTTAATAGATGTGTGACCCTGGGCAAGTCAGTTAACCCTGACTGCCTCACCAAAAAAGCAAAAAAGGAAAGAAAGAAAACAAAGCTTCTAATATAAGGGTTCTTAATGTTTTTTGGGATCACAGACTCATTTGGCAGTCTGATGAAGCCTATGGAGCGCTTCTCAGAATCATGTTTTCTAAATGCATGAAGTTAAACAGGTATGTTTAAAGGAAAAGCAATTATACTGAAATAAAGATGTGTTTTTTCCCCATCTAAGTTGTCAGCTCTTGCTAAGATCTATCCACCAACAAGAGGTCTGTAGACCCCAGGTGAAGACAGTGCTTGCTTTCTTGTTCATGTTAGGCTGACTTTTTTTTTTTAGTTTTAGAAGGATACATTTTATTCATATTTAAAGACTCTCCTAAGCTTCTTTTACAAGGTTTTAGCATAAATATTATACTTATTCAAAGGATTTTTCTGTATCTATTAATATAATGATACAGCTTCACATGGTTTTCTTTTTAACTTAATTCATCACTGTTTTTTTAATGTTGAACCAGGCTGGAATCCTAGCAAAAATTCAACTTGATCATAATGAATGATTTCTAATCTAAAATTTTTAATCCATACTCATTAATGACAAGAAACCATAGTTCTACTTAATCAATCCTTCCTGGGTTTAGTTATTAAAACTATATTTGTCTCACAAAATGAGTTTAAGAGAGAGTTTTATTTCTTAATATTTTAGGATAATTTGTATATAATAGACAATAATTCTACTTTAAAATTTTATAGTATTTTTCTATAAGTCCATCTAGACAAGGATTTTCTTTCCTTTGAAAGTTCCTATATAGCAAGTTCAATTTCCTTTTCTGAGATTGAATAACATAAGCTCTCTATTTGGTGTTCAGTTAACTTGAGTATTTTAGATTTTTGTAGAATCTTTTACTTTATTTGAATTGTCAGTTTTCTTAGAATATAAATCTGCACATTGGGTGACAATAATTCTTTTTATTTCTCCTCTGTTTGCTAAGATTTCCTCTTATTTTTAGTTTTGTTAATATACTTTTCTTCTCTCTTCATTGAGGTTGGCAGATGTTTATCAATTTATTAATGCCTTTTAAAAATAGTTCTTAGCTTGTTACTAAGTTTCACAATCTTTTTACTTTCCAATTTATATATTTCTTTCATAATTTTCATACTTCATCCGTTTTGCTTATTTTGCATTTGTTGAATTTCTAATTTTTTAAACTGCACAATTAGTTCATCAATCTCCCTTTTTCTATTTTGTTACTATATGTTTTTGTTGTTGCTTAGTCGTTTTCAGACATGGCCTACTCTCAGTAGCCCCTTTCAAGGTTTTCTTGGCAAAGATATTAGAGTGGTTTGTCATTTCCTTCTCCAGCTCATTTTACAGATAAGGAAATTGAGGCAAACAGGGTTAAGTGCCTTGCCCAGGGTCATACAACTAGCAAGTATCGGAGGCCACATTTGAACTCAGGTATTCGTGACTCCAGGTCTGGCACTCTATCTACTGCACCACCTAGATACCCCATGCTTTTAGCAATATACTTTTTCACATAGTACAGCTTTGGCTGTATTCCAGAAATGCTGGTATGTTGTCTCATCATTATCTTTTTCTTTCACATAGTTTTTAATGTTTCTATAATTTCTCCTGACCCAATCAACAACAACAAATATTTATTAAGCTCCTACAATGTGCCAGGCAGTGTGCTAAATGCTATGAATAAGAAAAAGAAAAGAAAGGCAAAAACAGTTCCTGTTTTTAAGGAGTTCATAATTTAATGGGAGAGTCAACATGCTATCAAATATGTAGAAACAAAATACGCAGGACAAAATTGAAAGTAATCTCAGAGAAAAGGCATTAGCATTAGGGGTTATCAAGAAAGGCTTCCTCCAAAGGTGGGCTTTTAGTTGAGACTTGAGGGAACCCACAGGTGCCTGAAGGAGGGACATGAGCAAGAAGAACATTCCAGGGATGGAAGACAGCCAGTGAAAATGCATGGAGTCAGTAAATAAAGTATTTTTTACTAGGAACAACAAGAAGGCCAGCATCACTAGACTGAAAATACATGGAAAGGAATAATGAATAAGACTAGTTTTCATTATCATCTTTATTTAGATCTGTGTCATTTGCTTATGATCCCTGTATGAAATACTATTTGTTATGTTATACTTTGCAAATAATTCTTTATTATTACAGTGCTTATATTTATTTGCAATCTGGCTGTCTTACCTAGTACATAGTCTGTTTATTAAAGTGCCTATGATACTGAGATATGTGTATCTCATTAGTGGTACCATTATATAAATGCCATACTATCTTTTAGCTCTAAATTCTTTAACAGTTCATACATTTCTCTATTTTCCCTCATTTATCTTACTGTTGGATGATACAGACTAGACAAGAAAGAACTAGATATAACTGGACGCAATAAATCAATATCAAAAACCTGAAAACATAAATTACTCAGGAAGAAATACCCCCTATATGACAAGAATAGCTGGAAAAACTGGAAAGTAGTATAGCAAAAATTGAGTTTATATCAATATCTTACATCACATAAGGGATAAAAACTATTATTTCACTGGTATATCAAGCTCCTGGGAGGAGGAAAGCGTCTCTGACAATGCAGGTCAGCAACTTGTAGTCTTAGAGAGCTGCCTAAAAGGTTACATAACTTGCCCCATGTCACAGGCTGTACATTACAGAGGCAGGACTTGACCACAGGTTTTCCTGGCTCTGAGTTCATATCTCTGTATACTACACCATGTTGGCTCTGCCTTACATCATATGCCAGAATATATTTAAAATGGATACATGTCTCACACATTTAAGATCATATCATTAAAAAAATAAGAGGAGAAACAGATCATATACTGGGCACAGGTATCAAAGGTTGGGTGAGGAAGACAGAGGTGAATTTTTAACCAATAGACAGAGGCAATTACAAAAGACAAAATCAATAATTTTAATTACATAAAATTGAAAAGAATTTGCATGAACAAAATAAATGCAAAAAGGATAAGATTTATATCAAATATATGAGAAGGTTCTAATACCCAAAATATATAGACAGCAGGAATATATAAGACCAAAAGTCATTCCCTAACAGAAAACTATTAACAACTATAACAACGAATGCTTTAAATCACCAATAATAAAAGAAATACAAATCAAAACAACTTCCCTAGGTCTTCCCTTCACACCAACCATCTTGTCAAAGATTAAAAACAAAAAGATGGGAATAGTTAATGTTGGAAATGCTACAGAAAAACAGGCACACTAATTGGTAGAGCTACAAACTGGTACAACCACTCTAGAAAGTGATTTGGAATAGTTCAGAGAGTGACTAAAAATACCCTTTGACACAGAAATACCCCTCCTAGACATACAGCCCAAGAAAGTCAATGACACAATTTATAGAGACTGTAACCAAGACTGTGACATAATACTATATGAAGACATTTAAGTGGGATGAAGAAGTTTTATCTGAATCAGAAAAGCATCTGGATAAAATCTGATAAATAGGTAAGCAACAAATTTTTGTCAGTCAAGGGATGGTTGAATAAAGATTGGCATTAAGTGGATTCCAACAGGGGAGAGTATATTATTTCAGCATTATCATTATTAATCAGT